CTCTTTCCTTGACTGACAATTCAAGGGATTCTGTTACTCAAAACTTGAATTAGTATTTAACCTGTTCCAGGAAAGGTAAGACTGGGGAAACAGCTTGGGAGAAAATGCTGAGGAAAGAAGTTTTTTAATCTAAGAAAGCTAGTAGTAAAGAGGAGCTATGTAAACTTGGCCGATGGAGGCATCATCTGGGGGTTGACATGTTGGATGTGTAATGAGGAGGTTGTCTGTCAGTGTTGCCTTTGACTCTGTTTGCCTTTCAGTCTGTGGCCTTGGATTCATCACCTGGAGATGAAGATCGTAATGGTTCTACGAACTTATTAAGAATATTAAGAGTTTACTTTGTGTAGAGTGCTTTGAGGTCTATGAATGCACAGTGTTGATGGTTTTACATTCTCTTGTCCAATTATTTAAAAGCAGCTGTTATAAATAAGTTCTAACTTTCCAGCATCCAAATACTCTGTCTCTCAAAAACACAATACAGTTGGAGTTTTTGCACTATTGCCACAGAAATGGCAACGTATCAGAGTACAGCATTGAGATTTGAGAATCAACACCAGGAAAGAGAACAACAGATCTGTGAGGAACAAAAAAACCACAAAAGGCCGAATTGGGCTCTGTTCTGCCCACTTCCAGACTTCAATATTAACATTTTCCTCAGTTAAATGTATCCCTTTGTTCCTAAAAATAATTTTAAAAGGCTTCATGTTTTTACATGTATCTGCAACATGGAAGTCCATTTTTAAAAGCATAGGACTGAAGTTTTGCAAAGAACTTAAAAGAGTTTTGTTATTAATTTGGTTGATGGTAGGGCAGGTTTTTGTTCCCGAGAATCTCTTGCTTTTGCTTTCCGTGGTAGCAGTGTGTCGAGAGGGGTGAAGGCTGGTGCAGCTGGCACTCCTGTCAGAAATCATGCATGTGGAAGCTTGGCTTTGGATCTGCTGTGTACAGAGATAATGGTGAAGATGATAACCTTTTTCCACTGGGTAGATTATATATCTTAAATGAAGTAAATGTGCTGATGTCAGTAAGCCCAAGAACTGGTTTGTAGGACTCAGCTGTATTTGAGGTATGATTTTCCTTTTGTTAAAACTGATGTGCAAGTCAATAACTAGAGTTTAACATAGCTTTTTGGGCTTAGGTTATGTAAAGATGTTTAACTGGGTAAATATCCTGAGACTGGGACATCTCGGATCGGTACTAAAGAGGAGAAATGGAAACAAACAAATAAATACTCCCTAGTGAAATGTGAAAGGAGGTGCTGAGGCCGAAGTGTATTTGCTTTGGTGAGCTGCCTGCTAGGGAATTTGCAATGCGCATTTACTGTTCCCCACTTGTGTGGGGCAAGGCACTGTGTGAGGCGGAGAAGAGCACTTTGCTTAAACAATAGGAGTATTAAACCAAGTTAGAATGAAATGTTAGAACAGGTCTGTATTTCACTCTTTTAGTTAGAAATGTTACTGTGAAGCAGTATGGGTCAGCCGAGTATGGGTCATATTCTTCAGACTTAATTTCCCCCTGAGTCCATAACCCAGTGCTTCCTATTGCTGAGATTGCTGCTTCCAACCAGGCAAATCTGGCATTAAAAATGAGGCATGGGGCTTGGTTCAAACTGTTATGGCCTGTCGGGGCTATCGGCTCGAGCTCTGCTGGGACAGGCACTCCTTGATGCTGGTGCTGCTGTGGGAGGTGGCGAAAGCGGCCAAGGAAAGGGCGCAGAGGTGGTGCCAGCCAGAACGGCAGTGGTACGAGGGCAAGAGCTGCAGGCACCACAATATGAGCAAGAGAATGGCTGGCAGGGCTCGGAGGGTCTGGGGTGCCGAGGGGACTCTCAGCAGCAGGGAGTGAGGAAGGGAAGAAGGTAGTGCTGGCATGTCTTTCCTCTTTAAAAATGAAGGTTAAAAGATGAAAAATTGAGAGTCTATGGTGAGAGGTAGCCTGGATGTTAAACTGAATGATCAGCACTCAGCGGTACTGTATTTGGATCACTTGTTTGAAAATTAAACTGATTGAAAATATCTTCAGACCCCTGTAGCAATAGATGGAGAATGTGTGATGCTATCCCTCATGCTTCACATGGTGCCTCAGGTGTCTGGCCCAAAGTAGTGTGGACCCTGAAACCAGAGCCCTGCGAGCCACAGGAGAGCTGCTGGATTGCATAACTGCCAAAAAATGCCCAATGAAGAAGTATAATTCTCTAGTAATATTTTACTGCAATTCTTGTTCTCGTAAAAACACTTAAAATAGAGGCCTAAATAAATTCGAAAACAAGAAAATACTTGTACCACAGTTGTTACTGTAATGTATCAACTGTTAACTTATTTTTCAGAATTAGTCTGTGTCATAATCAAACTCTAAATCTGTTTTCTCTTTGTGGTGGTTATGCCATGAGCATTCAATTGTTTAGTTGCAAAATAATACTTTGTCGCTCTTGCACGCTGCTGTTCCTTGGTAGGTCTCAAAACCCAGCTTAGTCAGGAGATAGATGCCTGTATCCCTGCTCTCCAGATGAGAAAATTGGGACCCAGTGATGTGACATGACATGTTTAAATTCTGCCTGCAGTCGGTAGCTGAATCAGGACTAGAAGTGTGTCTCCTGAGACCCAAGCCTGTATCTTATTCAGTATGCCATACTGGAAGGGTACAGATTAGTTTACGTATGACTAATTGCAATCAAGTAGATTAAGATGAAGAAAGGAAATCTCTGCCTGTGACACGGTTGCATTCTTTCTGCATATCAGTGGTGGTGAGCGTAGTCAGTCAGATTCAGAAATGAAGGTGCGGTGAAGGACAAACTAGCGCTGAAAAACTTTTCCTTGTTTCCTCATTGAACCTGGCATAATAGGAACTGTATCCGTATTGCTTTCCCAGAAATGCCAAAAGCCTGAGAGCGCTTGCTTCCTCCTGTGCAGGTTCTAGACTGATAGACTTGGGTCTGATCAGAGCAGTGGGTGCTGGAAGAGAAGGCTCTCCGTCTCGGTGGTCCTGCCCTCGGAGCTCCAGTACAGGGGCTGCCTCACTGTGCCGTGCATGTTTGGTGTAGGCAGGCTACAGAGCCAAACTGTGCTAAATGCTTTGCTGTGCTCTAGCTGCCAGCTTCAAAAGTGGTGTGGGAGTTTTTGGATTTTGTCCTGCTTGATCTGATTGATTTTTAAAAATCCAAATGTCTTTCCCATTGAGGCTTCTGTAGTTTTAAATTTATAAAAGCTTGCAAAATTTTACACTTGTCAAAAAGTTTTATTTATGTGGAAGGTTGATGCATGTATCTTTACCAGTTACATATCCTTTACTTAGGTTTTGGTTGGAGCACATGGGTTTTTTTGTAAGGCAGGAAAGAAGTGGTGGGTAAAAAGGACTTAGCTGAGAAGCAGAGAGCTTTTACATGCAGCTGTTTGCTCTTAGCGACCTGCTGTATTTCTTTCCTCACGACTGTTCTTTGTCTCACCTTTTCAGCTTCAAGGACGCTGTCATTTCTGTTGCTTTAACATACTCCACTTTCTTCTCTGTTTCCTTTAATGGAGACGGGTGCTGAGGAAGTCAACAAAAATGATTTGTGATTTCATTGTGCACTCGGGTACAAGGTGATAGGTTTTTACAGGGAAAACAGTTTTGTTCAAACAAAAGTTATCTCCTGATATTTTTCATAAAATTCTAAGGAAAATGAATGCAAATAAATGAGGAGAAAACAGTTTGGGTAGATACGATTCTTTGAAAGACTTTTCTATTGAGTAAAATAAACTATGAGAACTGCTGTCAAGGCAGGTTAGTTTTGAAGTGTATGACCTGTTAATTTTCTGTTGTGTACAGGTCATTCATTGACTTAATATAAAACGCTTTCCAATGTGCGTATAAGCTTATTTCACATCTAAGAGAGCAGTTTCTTGTATTACGAAGGATACCCATGAGGTAGTGCGTTCAAGAATATGTCAGCTGGTGTAATTCAGTATTCTCTGTGGTATTTCATGCTTTTTATCTCCTAAATCCCTCAGTTTTAAATCTGACAATAGACATCAATTGTATAGCTCCCATTGAAAGAGGCTAGGTTAGAAGAGAAGACCGGTTTTAAAGGCATGGGTGGTAATGAGAGGTTTTTTAGAAAGTGAGTAGGGAGATCGACACAAAGAGACGACACTGAATATTCTGTGAATATGGCATGTAGTTGACATCAGAATGCATGATATGAAGCACTCTTACGCCAGAATTGCTGCTTCTTGGCTCACCTACAATCAGCTCTAGCAAGAAGTATTTACTGAAGCAGACAACTTTTTATATAAAGCTTTTATATGGTGTTGATATTTTTGACTTGTTCAGCAGTGGTGCCTGCATATGCTCTGTGTCATGCTGCATCAGAGAGGAGATATCCAGGCTTAAATTGAACTTATCCTAGGCAGAACCACAGAGAAGTGGCCTGCTGTTCCATGTTGGTTTTATCCATACTAGAATACATAGTCTTTTCTTTACAGATTGATAGTTATATACAGGATTATATATTGGTAGCAACAGGCACTCTGATAAACATTAGTGTCGAAACAAAGAATTACAGCAAATTTGGGTGCAGTAATACATGACAGGTCTCTAGTGAAATATTGTTGCGACTTTAAGGCATGAAAATTCTTGAAGTCAATAAATGTGTTTAGCAAGTTCTTCATCTTCCTCAGTGGCTTCAGATGATAGTTTCTACTCATTTTTTTCCCCCCCTTTTTTTTTTTGCAAATGTTTGAAGCGTAGGTAATAATTTTCAGAGTATGACAGTGAAGAGAACATAGCCAGATCATAACAAAAGAGGTTTTTACCTGTGAAACACTTTAAGGGAAAAGAAGGATAAACACTGAAGTCCTCTCTCTCATTAGCTGTGTTTCTATTTTGCAACATAGGTCCTAAAGGAAAAAAACTGCAGAACCTCAGTGAAAGAATTCACTGTGGACCTCATTTGTAACACTGTTGGTACGAAATTTGGACTAATCTGTTGTGATTTCTTTTTTTCTTTTTCTGATCCAGGCTTCCACAATGTTAAGAGCGTCCTTAGCCCCTGTGTAAGTATTTATTGCTGAGCTTCATGTATTTCGGTGGAGGGGCGGAGGAGGGCTTAGTGAACTGAAGTGCATTGCCAGTTGTCTGCAAATGGGAATCACTCACCCTCTGTGTGCTTCCTCTGAGCTCAGTAAACACTGTGTGCAAATGTTGTGCGGTTGGTGTTCTTCTGTTGGGCAGGTTCAGCGACATCCTAATTTCAGCAGGCTGTTCCTAATCCAGTAAATCTGCCACTCCACACCTGTGAGTTGGTAGCTGTATTTTCTTTACTGGTTCCGCACAGTACAGTACTGTTGTTGCAATTGGTTTGCTTCTCATAAATCCAAGAAAAAGGGGAATTGGTAGCAAGGATTTTTGCGTACTTCAAGTTGAATTTTTTTGTGACTGAATAAGTTTTGGCTTACAAGATTGAATAGAGATGGTATATCTTAGGTGAAGGTTTTATTAAATTTTTGAGACAGTATTTTGATCCTTCTGTTGTTTACAAGATAATTGAAAGGATAATTATACATATAGCATAATATTTCTTTTGAAAAGTGGTAGGATAGGAAGATAGGAGTAAAAATTGTTTAGTGGAATATAATTAAATATTAAAATTAAAGCGTTGCCTGGAAGCAATTTTGTTAAGTGAAACTTCTATTGCAGTATTAAAACTCAAAATAGCATGGTAGTACTGGTGCATGGAAAGTGGTCCTGCGTTAAGTCTAATGTTAAACCAGCATAATCCAGCCTGTAAAAATCCATTCAGCCTGCCACCTTTGCCTTGGAGAAGACAATTCTGTGTGCCTGAGGGCTTAGAGCTGAAACGGGAGCTGCAGCTGTTTGCAGCGTCTGGTTATAACCGTACGGTCAGACCACAGGCTGCTGCCCTCGTGGTCCACACAGGGCAGAGAAGGGTGTCGCTGTACTGGTCTGTGCCGCTGAAAAATTCAGATCATCAGCGGACTAGTTGTCAGAGTTTGGTGTCTGCAAGTTGTTGTGGTAACTGAGCTGCATGCATGGTGAAAAAAAGAAGTCCAAGTTTAACAAGTCTGTTGTTCTAACATGATGATGGTAATAAAAGTAACAAAGGTGTAAACATGTGGAAGCTCTTTTCCTGAAGCAGACTTCCTGTTTTGGCTCTTCTCACCTCAGTAACATCAGCTGCATTGAGTAAGAAGAGAGAGTTTTGATTAATGTCTTCCCCATTTGCGTTGTAGGAAGATGCAGGATGTGCCGTTGTTGCCCTCTTTGGATTATGAGAAGCTGAAGAAGGATTTGATTGCAGGGAATGATCGTCTCAAGGCCTTCTTACTGCAGGCTCTGCGCTGGGTAAGGGAGATGGCCTCTGCTGAAATAAGGAAATAGATCCCTTCTGGAGGGGTCCAGAACTAAAATCCATCTTGTGAGCAGGATGATTGTTCTGGTGATCAGTTCAGCATTGTAGGCAACTTCTCTCATTGTCAGTGAAGCTTGCTGAGGCTCTTCAGTTGATGAAAAAAGCCCAGGCAGTAGGTGTGTATTTGTAGCAGTACTCTCCCTATCTGAGGAAAGCCAGATAGGAATTCCTGGGATCTTCTGTGAAAGTAATTTCTGATGTGTGTTCAAGGAAATTGGTGCTGGTTTAGGCAGTTCCTTTTTCCATGTATGGCCCAGTTTTAGATTTGTATAAATATTGCTTTGTCAAAGAAATATCTGACTCTAATCACCAGTTACAGTTCAAGAGTCTGCGTTTTGGTTGACTTGGATCATGTAATGATATTTCAGAAGAATTAAAGGTGACAACAGGAAGGTACATTTTCCTGCTGGAAAGGAAGCTGATGGGTTCAAAGTGACAGACGTGAAAGATGATAATAGTGGAATTCTGATCGAGCTTCAATGTCCATTTTCACATAAAAAAAACATCCGTTGGGTCTGAACAGTGGTTCTTCTAGCCCAGTACGCTGTCTCAGATGCTTTAGAAAACGGCCACATCTGTAGCTGTTAGAGGGGCTTTTTAACTTTATGGGAAGTAATGCTGTATCCTTCCTGTATGGACAGTGATGACAGCTCCCAAGTAACAGTTTTGTAGTGGAACACTGAGCTGAGGTCAGGTCAGTTCATTCCATCTCTTTCCTTTAGATCACTGAGGCTGAACTCCTTCTCTCCATGAGAAGAGGTTTCTTAACTGTGGGGTATCAGCACCTTTAAAATCTTCAGTGTCACATTGCCATTTATTTATTTGACTGGTTTATTTATGTTGTTATGTATTTTAGCGCTTGACAACATCATATCCTGGAGAACAGAGAGACACTGTCCTGCAAGCCTACATCAGTAATGACCTCCTAGACTGCCACGGCAATTGTCAGGTCAGCTGGAATGGGTTTTCCTCCAACTTTTGTGTGATATTGCTCGTTTGTTTCTGTAAAGTGCTGATCAGAAAAATTTATCACTCTCTGGAAGGGGAAGAAAAAAGTAGTAGTGCCAAAATCATGTGATACATTTAACTTCTGCATCCTGGTCTTTAAATGTGATAGGCAAAGCTTTGCATTACAGGAGCTCCCCATGTAGCTACAGTTCTTGCAAACAAGTGGAAGTTTGTCAGCTCTCCTGGTGCTTGATGTCTGCGAGTTAAGCAGGAGCCTACTGAGCCCCTTACTTAGAAGTTAGCTCTTGCTTATCAGATGCTACGTCTTTTTAATTGATAATACTTTCAATCCATTTCACTGATCTAAGATGAGAACTAAATTAGGAATTCAGTCTCAATACCTCTATGGAATATCCGATTATGTGCTGTTCAATAGTGTTTCTGTGAATTTGGAATGGATTGTTACCTTTCTTTGGAAAGGTGAATTGCTGGTATGTTGATTTTGAAAGGCTGCTTCAATCACTGATAATCCAATCCTATTGCTAACAGTGCAACGTTTTCATTTGTCATGTGAGTTTTGTGGGTAGTGGAGTTTCCCGGTGGTTGGAAGCAGTGGGCGTTCTTGTTACATCGTGGCTCTCATTGTCTTGCAAGAGTAGCTTCACTAGAAAAGTTAAAGGATTATTAAATCAATGATCTCTTTTTCTCCCTGTAAATTTCTGTAAGAAGAAAGTTGTATATGAGTAATGCCTGAAGTAAAACATTTAAAATAGTTTGCAATGTGTTGTTCTTGGTAAGTTGCTGCTTTCCCACACTGAGTTGTCAAACAAAAGCATTCCTATTCAGGTAACATTGCTGCATTTAACATCATCAACAAACTAACAGATTTTTTTTTGTCACTGACTAAATATTAATTTTAGATATTAGCTTTAACTGATAACTGTGTTGGTTCATTGTAATTCTCACCCTGTACCATGGAGCTTAATGGTGTTTTAAGACTGAGCCAAGGAGCTCTAATTCACTTATTTGTTCATTTTCCCTCTCTCCCTCAGCCCCCTGCCAATAAAAAATAAAAAAAAGGGAAATTTTAAATTATATTGACATTATTTAAGATATCAATATGCATTCAAAGTTTGAAAATTTAATGAAGCTTTTAAAACATTATAGAAGACTAACTTTGTTTTTCCCTGATTTGGCAAGTTTTTATTAATATTTGCTTTCTTTTTCAGAGGAGTGTCCTCAAATTATTGCATTCTAAGAGTGAGGTAGTCAGACAATACATGGCAAGGCTCATCAATGCTCTGGCTTCACTGGCAGAAGGTAAGAGATTTGCTGGGGAAAAAAAATGCATTTTCATATCAGGCTGGCTTAGAAGTACTTCACAAGTGCATGTCACTATGTGTGGAAATTTAGTCTTATTTGCACCTTTTTTCTAGGGATTCAATGTCTTCTGTTACATGCATTCAATACAGTTTTTCAGTATCTGGAAAGTTTTCATTTTGACACTGTATATTCAGCATTTCTGACTTCTTTTGATGGTTTGTGGTCTGTGTGGGAACTTCCCCAGGTGCTGCCTTTAAAATAGTCTTCAGTCTCTTCATGAGGGGTGGGGGGGGATGGGGGGGAAGAAAAAATCCCTGTTAATTAAAGGTCCTGTAGGCAGACCTGCTACTAGGCTGTGCAACAGTAGTTAGTGCAGCTGCTCGTACATGTTCCTGGTCCTCATCTGAGTAAATCTTTGTGCATCACCGCTGTTTGGTTGCATATATATGCAGCTTTATGTCTCCGTCTGTCCCAAATTAGCCCTTGGTTTGGTGCTACTTAAGGAGCCAGCTATTGCTAGAAACTGAAATCCCATTTAAAGTCAACAGCATTAGGGTGCCTAACTTTCCTGAGCTCTTTGGACCTCTCTGTTCTTTTCCAAGAGTATACAAAACTGTGATAGATCAGAAAGCATGTACTGAAAGAGGAATAGTGGATTCTGTGTGGTACGAACTTGGCAAGTGGGGACCTCTAATGCCTCAAGTGGCTGGATTGAATACAACTGGTCTGCTAGACAACTTATTTGTGTAGGTTTGTTTGGTCTTGGCACAAGACTGTGACTTGTCCAGAAGAAACTGAGGTCAATCCTGCTTACTTTTCCAAGGAGAGGGAGCTTTTCTGTCATAAGCTGGTATCTGAGCATCTGTTCTTTCATCGCTTTTTGCACCAGGTCGTGTCTACCTTTCTCAGAACCCAACATTGCTGCAGATGCTGGAGGAGAGACTGAAAGCTGAAGACAAGGATTCCCTTACATGGGAGAATGTTCTGGGGGCTCTGCAGAAATTCAGCCTCAGGTGATGAAAGCACAGCACACAGTGGTGACAGCAGGAGAGGAAATGCAGGCTAGTTAAGCTCTGTTCAGGGAGGAAAGAAGAGCACTTGATTTTCCCATAACAATCATCAGAACCTCTGATGACTGATGAAAGCAGTGCCATTTATTATGGAGGAGAACTCAGTTTTGCTGACCCAATTAACCTGACTTCCTACCAGTTGTCAAGACTCAAGTAAACGTACATCTGCCATAGCCTTGTGTGCTCTATGTGTATCCCTTATTTGAACAAAGTGAAAATCTTAATGTAAAAAGTTCTGAAGATCCTACATAAAAAAAAAGGGTTGCATTACATTCCAAAGCATAAGGTTTTCATTATCCTTTCTGCAAACATTTTTCAGGGATTTCATCCTCATCCTGTTGATCCTCTTTCCTGGAGCTCTCTATGCCTGGGCTGTCTTGTTTCTTACTTTTGCATTAGCAGTCTGACTCAAATGACCACCACAAAAGAAATATGCAAAAGCAGTAAAGGACATCTTGTTGCTCGCATTTATCAAGTAAATATGATGTAGGAACTCTGTTTTCACAGTACTTGGGAGGAATACTCAGCCCTGAGTAGTTAACTGAATATAAGAAGGTAGATGGATGTGTTTAGCTCTTGTTATTTTTGTTCATGTTTCTTCTAATTTAAGTCTGTAAGTGTTGGGGGGGGGGTGGTGTTTGTTTGGGCTTGTTGAAGAATGAGGGCTGCTTTTGGGTTTGCCTTATTTAGAACTTGTCTGGATGAAGCACATGTAAATGTGCTTTGAGTAAAATTCTGCACTGCTTCCTGACGTGATACCTTATACACATTTGAGGTGAAAGAGAATAAATCTTCATACCCTACTGTTTGAAATCCTAAACCAGTCTTAGAGAAAATTATTTTTCTGTTAAAGCTGTTTTTGAAAGTACAAGTACTGAAAATTTGAAAGTTTTTTTACTTTCTAAAAAACAACAGTTAATCTTATAGAAGGTTAATTCTAGATACTTGACATGAGGGACTTTTTTTTAATGTGTGGTCAGATGCTTCCTTGTTTTCTCAGTCCATGCCATAGATCTACTGCAGGATCCAGGACTGAGCAAGTGTATGAGCTTTCAGCAGTAATCCAAATCACAAGTACTAAGACCAGGAAAATAACTGCTTTGATCTATGTAATTTAGACTCGCTGCCCATTGGAAATAGTGTGATTAAAAATTGTGTTCTGCAGTAAGACTTTTCTACCAGTATATGCTTTTTTTTTTGTATTGTAAAACGAGGAATTTCTGTTGCAGGAGATCCCAGTTGACCACCTGGGACTTTAACCAGTATGCTTTTCCAGGGCAACCACAGGTTGAGTTAAAAGAATACATACTTTAAAAATCTCTAGGGAAAAGATAAAATTGATTTAAGAAAAAAAAAAAAAATCTCATTTTTCAAATCAACAGTACAGAAGTGCTACAGTGCTATGACTACCTGTGGCAGAAGTAGTAATTAATTTGTTTTATGGGTCTGTTGTGTGTAGCTGGCTGGCTTTTTTTACCAATTTGAAGACAATTGAAAATGCAATTTTGGTGGATTTAGAAGCCTTAGAAAACAATGAAGAAACTTACCTTTGCAGGTTTAAAAAAACCAAAACACAAAAAACCCCAACTCGCCCAACAATGTTTTAGTCCTCTAACCCCATGGAAATCTGCATCTTCGCTTTCTTTGGGCTTTGTTAATTCCTGAGTTTAACTGATTCTGCCAAAATGGGTAGTTTTGGGTTTTTTTTGTTGGCAGGCTGGTGTATAGCAGGTATGTGAAGTAGGGTTTTAATGTGCTTATATTAGCTATAAACGTATTTGAAAGCTATTTATGTTGTGATCTGGTTTTTGTAGGTTTTTTTTGTTTTTAACCCTAGGCGTGCACTGCAGTCGGCAATGATCAAAGATGGGCTCATTTTCTGGCTGGTCGATGTTCTAACGGATACAGATTGCCTGTCTGACTATACGCTGGAGTATTCTGTTGCCTTGCTCATGAATCTCTGTCTGCGGAGTGCAGGTGTCTTACATTTTGAATTACAACCTTATTCCAAGAACTAGATAGAGAAGATGGTGAATCCTTTTTTCTGATATACCTGGATTCTTTCAAGTGACTGTAATTAGCAGCAGGGACTCACGTGACCAGAAATATTTGAGTATTATGACCAATGCTTCTGAGCAGATCTCTTTCCCAAGAATCCTAAGCTATGGAGGTTAGCTTCACCAAAATCCAAAGAATCAAGAAAGCAGTTAATCAATGGAACCCTCGAAGATTTGATTCTTTTTTTGTATCCCTCTGTGAGGATTGCCATTCCTACGTTCCAGGCCCACTTTTCAAAGGATACGTTATACTTGTGTAAGAGATTTGTTTGTATAAAAGAAAGTCAGAACTGAGTTGATGAGTAATGGCAAGGATCTTCACCTTTACCTCGTGGAGTGAAATACTTGCATGTTTCACTTCTACAATGCAGAGATTCCCCACCACCCCCACCAAAAAAATAAGGTCCTGTCTATGTCCAAGAGACTTAAGCAAAGGTCAAAGTAAGTTTCCATTTAAAAAGGAAAATAAAGTAAGGGTGAAAAAGCGAGTGCTTGCCATAAGCAAAATAATGCCTTTGTTAAACTTTTTAAAATCCCTTTGTGTTGCATCCTGACCAAGATTACAACTGTGTAAATCCAGAGTAACTCCACTGATTTCAGCTCAGTTATGCTGAGCAGTGTTTGGTGGGAACAAGGAACAGTGTTGCTCCATGTAAGTTATATTTAGTACCCATTTTAAGAAGTAAGAAAGAAGCTTGCTCTGGTTTATTTTTTCCAGCATATTTTTATTTTCTCCCTTTGTAGGGAAGAAAGTGTGTGCAAGGATTGCAAACCCTGTGCTCAGAGTTCTCTCTGATCTGCTTGGCCATGAGAATCATGAGGTATTTTTACAGCAAACTTTGGGTTAAGGAAAAAGGGGAAAGAAAAATTGAACATAAAAAAAGCAAGAAAGCAAGAAATGGGAAAAAAGTAAATTGGTTTTGTTTCCCTTTTTAGACCCTTGTGTAATTAAGTTGCGTGAAATTTTCCTAAAATTCACAATTATGTAAATTTTATTTCATTGTGCACTGATATTTCTAGTCATAATTATGTCTTCCTTTAACAAATGTTGGCAGCTAAGAATGAAAGTCTTCTGGATGCATGGTTATCATGCAATCCACGTGCCTTCTTGATTACAGTTTCTGATGCTGTTTAAATGTCATCTCACACCAAATCATCTCAGGCTTAACTAGTTCATCAGATGAACAATGTGTGGTGCAAGCAAAACATCAGGTGCAAAGAAGCAAATTTGGTAGTGGTTGTAAGGAATATTATAAGAAAGTAGTACACCTGTGACATCGAGCCCTAATATCTTTTTATCCACCACTTCATTTAACTTGCTGCTTAACCCTTTTGTAGTTCATTTCTGTTTCCAGACACACTTGCATCTTAGATGCTAAATTAAACTACCTCAGAGGAAAATACTAAAAATCATTACTTACTTCTACCTAATACTTTTCAGCATAATCGCTCTGATATCTGCTGTCTGGTATATAAAGCATTGCTTCAGCTGTCTCTGCAGATGGGCTCTTCTTCAACCATGGAGTAAAATTTAAGACAGGAGAAAACGCAGGCAAATATTGTATGAAATTGAAATCATAGGGAGGCAGAATTTTTACCAGGGTATTCTAGAATGATTCCTGGATGATTGTACAAGGTGTTCAGGGACTTCTGAAATACAAACTCTGATGTCTTTTGTTTATATACAGTGATTGTATCATGAGGTTTTTTTGTTTAGAACTTAGACTGAAAATAGAAAATAAATTTCGATGAAGTGTTTAGGCTGTGTTTTATTAATTCATTAGAAGATGTAGATCAGTTCTTTCCTAGCACTGCCTTGATTAAGATGAACCTTGGCGTACCTTTATTGTGCTGTTTTACTAGCTTTGTTTTTATGAATGATGAGAGTTAATACAATACATACTAATACAAAATAACATCCCAGTCCCTAGGCTGAAGTATTTAGAAATGCTAGCATACTGTTGAAGTCTGTGCCTTAGAATGACCTTGAAATTTCTCTCAGAGGGTGCATTCTTACAACCCAGTTTTCACCAGCACAGCTGATAGAAGTTTTGTTATCAAAGTCAAAGGTAGAAGGCAATGCTCTTGGGTGCCAGGAGAGCTTTCTGAGAAGCTGTGGAATCCTTGTGTAAATCCCAGCCCCTTATCTTTCCTTGCTTCTGCTGCTCCCAACCTAGCTCACTGTTCATTTTTCCAAGGATGTAGACAGAGAATGACTGGAAATCCTAATGCTCCAAAAGTAACTGGCCAACACAAAGGGTCACATAAGTACTGATAAAACTAGGTTGACAGATCTGGTTGCTAGCCATAACACGGAGCTTTCATGCTAGCTGGTTTTTTGCCTCTGCTGAGGGACAGTAGCAGGCAGCAGAGTGAGATGATGTTTGAAGGTGCTACGGCTTTTATCATCCTGCCTGTGGCTATACTGCTTGAAGCCTCTCTTGAGTTCATCTTCAAGCCTCTCTTGAGTTCATGCTGACAGTCTTGTCCCTGTTCTTTGTCCTATTTTTTTGTACTGCCACTAGTGTTTGTCAGGAACTAACCTTCTTTTTCTGCTTTTCGCTTTTTTTTGAGGGGGGGTCTAGGTCAATTTGCAGGAATACACTTTCACCAGGGGTGGGGGAGAAATCGGCATGCAGCAGTACTGGTTTAGATCAACTGTGTCATGGTATTTTTTCATCCTAAAAGTTCATACCTTCCCAAGTGGGAATTTTTGCAAGTGCAAGCTAGCCTGATTAAACCCTCTGAATATAATTGTTCTGTACCTTCACTCTTCAATTTTGATTATTGTCAGCTGGGATGAATGTAAGTTTTTCTTAGTCAAATGATTATTTCTTCCTCTTAGATACAGCCATATGTGAATGGAGCACTGTACAGCATTCTTGCCATCCCTTCTGTCCGCGAAGAAGCCAGAGCCATGGTAAGAAGCACTGCTTTGCACAGCACAAAGATCAGCGCATATGCCAAAGGTGGCGTGCACACATGTACCTGCAGTGCTGCAGTGTGTAGCAGGGTTGTGACGTAGGAGCCTTTGATATTCAGGCAGGTATGAATGTATGTCACAAACACTTTTGCCATACTTGCTGGTCTTTTTCCAGAAGTGGATGTGAAGGATTCTGCCTAAATTATAGATGAGAGGCGTTATTTTACAATAGTGTTGTCCACCTAGCATATAGTAATCTGAATGCAGCCCAGGAGATGCTTTCATCTCACCTTCTATTTCTTCCCTTATTTAACTCATTCTGTCCAAGTGAATAGCCACTAAAAGGATGAGTTCCTCTTGCTGCTTTGGTTTCTGCCTGGTGTACACATAGTTAGCTGGGGAAGGCAGCAGGAGGAAAGTTTTAGCAGAACTAGGAATTGATCTCCTGTGGAAGTTAATCTAATGGTAATGAATGTGTTTGAACTTCTGGATTTGAGGAAGCCGTTCCTGGGATAGCAATGTATCTTTGTGTCTGAAGAGCTAATACAGAGAGTTGTGCAGACAGACATAATTGTTGTCAGATGTTTTACCTCGCAGAGCACAGAGGATCTGAACTCATCTTAAATGATTAAAGACACAAAATCAAGCCTATGAGGGGCCACAAAGAGAGAAACTGGGTTTAAGAGAAAGTCAAAGTTGGTCTTGCTTTTTGCTTTCCTGCTCTGAACCTTGCACTGTTGTCTCTGTGAATGCAAATTTGCCCTTGTCTGTTGAATACTGTGTGCTCAGTTCAGAAGGCAGAAGCAGCAGATCTGTTGTAAAAATTTGCTGTTCATCATGGATACTTCTGTATTTAAAAATAGAAGAAATCTGGACAGCATATTTCTTTTATCTTGGGAAGTCTATGGACAAAATGGAGTGCTTAGAGCTGGACACAGCGGTTTGTTTCACACTGGCTCTGTTTTTCCTGATGAAAAAATGACATTTTAGTTAACAAAACTCTGTCACTGTGGTTACATGAAATACTAATCTAGCAATGTTTTCTGCTACATCCAGGGAATGGAAGAAATTCTGCGCTGCTTTATCAAGGAAGGAAATGCAGAGATGATCCGGCAGATTGAATTTATTATTAAGCAGCTCAATTCAGGTCAGAAGAACAGATGCAGCTATCTGAGCTGTAAATCTTTCACAAAAGCCATAAGAAAGCTGATGTTTTTACTTGACGTTGAAACTCTCAAAGAATAACAATAGCATGATGGTCTGAGAGAGCGTGAATAGTGAATGTCAGGATTTGAATGTCAGATGTGTTTTAAAATTTCCTTTTGTGTTACAGTTATAAAGAAGAAATAAAAGTCTGAGTAGGTCTCACTGCCCAAGTTTTGGGACTGTAAATAGAATGACCTTGACTGTTTTCTTTCATGCCAGTGGCCTCACAGTAATGAGAGACTGCTGTCAACTGCAAAAATAAACAGGTGATATAATTTGTAAAGCAGGATTTAGGGACTAGGTTTTTCTCTGCTCATCTCTTGCTCTATTGAGGGGTGTAGCTTTGTTATCTGAAATGGCTTATCCTGAATAGGCGGGTAGAGACCATCCTTTTTGGAGAGTGTGTTGGTGGGTCGCAGGAGTTGTAGATGCTGTGTTAATACAGACAAGTAGGAGGAGGTGGAATATTTCTTGTATTTTATGTTCCCTGTGGCTGAAGGAAGAGAAAACAAATAATGAAAAGGAGCTGAATTCTGATTAAATCTTTCTGTACAGTAAAAAACAGAATAAATTGGACTGCTTTCTTCGGCTTTTGGAGAGAGCAGAAGGCGGCATATCTTATGTTCTAGCTTGTAAAAGAACAAAGTATTTAAGCTCCATATTGCCACCATGCAATATTTGTTCATCAAGGTCACAGAATCACTCCTCTTCTACCTGTGAATGGTATTTTTAAAAGGTTTTGTGTGATTGGTGAGTAAAAGTTGAGCATACAGATTTCCAGCGTAAGCCTGGCTGCTTTTTTCTGAGGAAGTTTATCCATAAGTTACAGTAAGTATTCTACATGACTACTCTCTTTGTACATATAAAAGCAGTGTAATATTGACAAGTTTGTAGGGAGAAGTAGAGTTTTTAATAAAAATTAGCTGAAAAATAGACAAACTTGCAAGTGCACACACTTTCATTCAAGTCTTGTCAGTAGGTACACGTAGACATCATAGTGGGATTTATGAGAAAAGAACTACTCCAGAGTGTTTCTGGTTTTGCCATTTTCACAAGCATGAATTTATTTCAGTGATTTCTAGAATGCTTAATAGGAGCAAATAATTCCAATAGTTGTCTTGACAAGAATGGGATGTCTATATGAGAAGCAAGTTAAATCTTACTCTTGTAAGAGAGGGACAATAACTAGAGATTCTGTTAAGTCATACATATGGTCTTAGACTATTTTGTTTTGCTTCTTTCTAGACGAACCATTAAATGATAGCATTGTGTCTGATGATGAAGAGGAAGAGGAGGATGAGGAAGTAAGTATAAAGGCCTTCTGGCACCTTTTAGAAAAATCTGTAACCTTCTAGTCAGAAAATATTTGTGTCAATAAACCAGACTGTTTTTTGGTGTTCTTTTGTTTTGTTTTTTACTTTCATTAAATTATTCTTGCATTAACAAGAAAATTGGATCTGTTTCCATTACCTGTTCTTCATTTGAAGTCCTACTTCTATTTTTTCAAGTCACTATCTCTGTGATAAAGGAATATAGCTTGAAATAAGTAAAGAGATGAGGAGTTACTGTAGCAGTAGAAATGTTGCTTTCAAGCAGACCATTTCAGCAATTAAAAATAAAGGAAGCAAATGAACCAGTATGTTACCAGAATAGTTTATAAACAGGTTGTCACCTTTTCTTAAGGTATCATTATCTGTTCAGAGTGTGACGACTTCTTTTTCTGTTTAGAAACTTTGAAATATATTTAATAAATTATCTGCATGTAGTGAAGGAAAACAGTAATTACAAATTAAGAAAGAAATCCTGTAAGAAGAGAAAAAAAAAAGAAAAAATTGAGAAAGCAAGCATGAGAAACTATATCAAAGTAAACATAAGCTCGTTAGCTGTGTATTTCAAGCTCTGCTAGTAAACGCATTTTATACCAATGCTTCAGCATTTTTTGAGAAGCTGTCTTCCTAGAGCAATGGGTTCGCAGGTGTAGACAACATAGTGTATTCGATCATCTAAATTAACAAGCAAAGCAAGGTGCAGATGATGTGAGGGAATTGTTAAACATAGTCTTCACTGGTGATGTTGCCATAAGTGCATGGGGGGGGTTGCAGATATACTGTGTAGGCAGTTACATGAGAGTTTTATCTGAAAGAAGTCTACCACACAGCATTTTTCTTTTATTGAAAAGTCTTGCATGAGAAATTTAGAAGAACAGCTACAGTAGATGTCCTTAGAACAGTGTTAGAACTTATTTAGATGGATGTGTATGTGCGCGTAAATTTATATCATGTGTTTGCCCTGAAGAAGTCAGTGAAATTTAGAATTAATGATCTCTGCAAAATGTTCTTGTATTAGAAGTATTACTGGAGAACATATTTACTGAAAAGCCAGGGATTTAGACAAGATCTAAGTTTTTGTCCTGAACTGACAAAGAATAAGGCACATAAAACTTACCAAGTCAGTAGCGTCCATGTTCTACTAGCTTGTTGCACATGAATGCAAATGCTAGTGAGCAGTGACAACCATGCTACAGTATAGAACTTGCCCTGTCACTGCAGGATGACTGAGCGCATTTTCAAGTGCACGTTGAGCCTTTTGTGTTTTGAAAGCGGAGAAAAATGTAGATAACCCAGTTGTAACAGGTGTGGTGTCCTCTCAGCTGCCATGGGGTGCAGCACCTTGCAGGTTCAGCCTTTGCCTGGCAGTGGCCAGGGCAGTTTTGCACTGGCTGCATTACTGAGCTGATTTCTGTCTTGTGGCACAATAGGTGGTGAACACGTGAACTAATTACCCTTGTGACTTTGCCTAAGTTTAGAGCTGTGTGGAAATTCTAAGTTTAGAGCTACAAGGAAGTTTTATCTAACAATTGGCTCTCCCCCTTTTCTTCTAAGGGGATACAGTAGACTGTTTTTTCCTAATAGCCTTAGACTACTGTAATTGTTCCACCTCCTGCAGTCCTGAAGTGAGTTTTCAGTGACGTTTCCACTCCTCCCCCACAAAATCAATGCTTGATGTGCGAGATGAGCTTTCTGTGGACTAATCATTATAACTTCCCTTTGTTTAGTATGCTGCTTAACACCCTTTAACTGATGTTCCAACGCTTTGAGTGTCTTGGGTGTATCATGAGAATCCAAGATGGTGATATATTCGCTTGAACTCTAGTACACTTTTTTGAAGGACGCCGCATTCTGCTGGGAAAGCAGAGATAAGGAGCTCCATGGAAGGTGTGGCGTTGAATTGCATGATAGTGTTGAATTTTTCATTACTCTACCTGCTCTTGGGAATGAAAGGAAGGTGAATTCTCCTATTCAGTCATATCCCCAGTCACTGCTGCTCACAGTCCCAGCATTCTGAAATGCATTTTTACCACTGAACTGTCATGTGATTAAAACATGCTTCTGTCATTTCTTACTATTTGACTCAAAAATAACAGTAGGCTTTTGAAAGAGAGAAGTGTCTGATTCCAGTTTTTCATTGTCTTTGCCATTATATTAAAAAGAAAAAGTCTCATTAAGCTAATTTTGAAACTGCTCCTAGTGTAACATTAATTGTGGCACGTTCTAAATCCTTATTGCGGCTGGGAACTATAATTCTGTTCTGCTGCAAGGACACCTGGTTTCTTAGTCCCTCAGTTTAGAAAACAGGGTTTACAAACAGCATGCAGCAAGACGCTACACAAAATGCATGATGTTGTTACTTCATTAAATAAGCAAAGATTTGTTGACTCACTGTCTCAATGCTTGGAGTCCTTTTGTATTTTGGAAATGCAGTGAGTTATTGTTCTTTGGGGCTCTGTGATAACATCTGATGTTGTGATCTGGCAACAGCAAGTTTTGGAAAATTTGATCACTGCAGCTAAGATGTGGTTGAGCCTGTTGGAGGATAATTCTGGGATTTCTAAGAGCATCATACACTCAGAAATTTAAGATTCTGTAATGTGTGAGTATGGAGCATGTAAACTGAACAAAAAGGAGTATGTGTATACTGTCATTCAGAAAGAAATTGGTTTACGGGTTTGTCTGCTGAGCTTTAAACTAACTAGTGTAGAGCTCAGGATTCACTGGCTTCGAGAGTACATACCCACCTTCGTTATCTTAGCAATCTGGGGTGTGTTGACACCCACAGTCACAGTGCATATTTTCTGGCACTTAATATTCTCTTGACTGTTCTGTTAAATATTATCTTAATTTGTCTTCAGTATTTAATCTTTATATTTGCTTTTTAATAGACTTGTACCATCTTTAAAAGCTGCTTGTAAAAGCAAGTGCATGATATTGTAGCTGTAATTCAAAAGTTTAGTTACAAACTTGAGCTACATTAGATAACCGTACAGTGACGATTTATCAGACACCCTCTGATCCCCTGTCACTCAGCACCTGGAAATAAAATCAGTAAACTGCAGTGTGAAAACACACTGCAGCTAGAGAAAGAGTCAAAAGTAAAAGAGCTTAATCGTAGACCTAATCGCTGACCTCATCAAGCCATTACATTAAAGGACTTTGCTGCCAAAATCTGCTGCAGCCTGTGAGCAAGGGTGAACAGGGCCCCAATTGTGTCGTTTAGTGATGGAATGATGGCATGTCTGTCAAAGGTCCTTTTCTGTACCAGGAGGCAGAGGAGGGACACGTTCAGGCTCAGGTACCTCGTATGTTGAACAACGTCAGGGAGCAAGGCTGGCAGGAAGAGGTACTTCCCAGAAACTGGAGTTCTCTGTGTGACAAAAACATGTCAAACAGAATATTGGAAGAGGTGGCACCTGGGGAAACCAAGGCGATCTGTAAGAAGAGGTTAAATATGTCGTGCATGCAGAGAGCTGGGTGAAAGAGTAGGGCGATGTTCTGACTCTAATGTGTAGCGCTCTACACAGGCACAGTGTAGACAGTCTTCTGTGAAGCATCCTTGAAGAAAACTGTTAGCTCTTGATGCTGCATTAACATACTATATAAAAAAATTTCCATCAGACTATAAATATTGCTCATCTTTGCAACTATTTAATTTTTTTTTTCCAAAGTACAGTATATTGTGGAGTTTGGAGTGTGGGGGTTTTTTTTGTTTTGCTTCATACAGATGGTTGTTGCCTCCAAGTGTTTATCTGTGGTTTTCCATTATCTGGGTTATTTTTCACACCTACCCAGCTTCCCAGATAATTAGGAGCTGATTGTAACTTATCTTCCCTTGGAGAGAAAGGCAGATTGAACATCTTCCCCAGGTCCTATACAGCCTTACCTTTTATGGCTGAGAGTCTAGAGAATGCATCTTTAGGAGGACGAAGAGGATTAACATTCTGGTATCTTCAGAACACTTACGGCAGAGCTAGGGTTTTTTATTAAATGCATGCATAAAATTATGGAAAAATTTTACTCTGAACTTTCAAACACTGGATTATTGGCAGTATTTCTGTAACTGCTTCAGTTGTTCACGTGCAGGCATCCAAAGTCTCAAGAATACCAAGAATAGTGGAAGGACCTGCGCCAGGCTGTCGGGTGTGATATGGGACCTGTGGGAGGCTTGTGCCTCTTCAGAGCTCCACTGGAAGACTAGGCAGAATATTTCAAAGTGGAACTGGATGCTGCTGTGGGCTACTGAATTGAGGCCTTTGTGTTTTTTATCTCTGCTTGATGGCTGTGAATGAGAAGGTGATGAGCAATGAGAATAATTAAAACAAAAATAATGTGGTTTAAGCCATTTGGTACAGAGGTCATGACACTTGAAAAAGCACAAGCCTGTAGAGCTCTGGGGAAGCCAACACCCACTTGGTCTGAGTGATGGTAGCCTTGTTATTTTTCATCAAAGACTGGAATCAGTCGGCCATTTCCATTGTAGGAAATACCGTCCCTGTACACACTTCCAATGTTTTTTTCCTCATGCTGTTTTTGTAGGGCACTTTTGAGTAGCAAAACACAAGCAAAAGTACTATCTTGCTTTTGTATTAGTACTTTTGGTTTGCTGGAAGAATCCCTCAAACTTTAAAATTTCCTGGCTTGTAGATCTGTAGAAGCTTCAGAACTTCCATGAAGGATGAATTACTCATGGTTATACTAGAAATAGGCACAGGAGAGTAAATTCTTGGCACTTGTCACTTAAGAACTTGATTACATTTGGGTTTTGTAGAATAAAGTCAACAAAGGATTGTTGCCTTGTTGTATGGTATTTGTATCCTAAAGTACTGATTCCAGGGATTTTGTACCAGCCCCATATTGTCAGCTTTACGGCTTCCTTGCAAACCTAAGTAGCTGCTGCTGCTTCACATTGCTCTAAAAACCGTTGCTGTCAGACGCTCGTGGTCTCGCCTTTCAGAAACCAATGCTCGAGTTTTGAATGCCCAGCAATAAGGATTTTTTTTTTTCTTGAGTGATTAAAAACTATGCCTCTATTGCTTGAAAATAAGTAATAAAATATTTTGGGTATATTTTTCTTCTTGGGGAATACACAGCAATAAATTACTTTAGTATTTTCTTAAGGTAGAGGAACATACCCCAAAGTGCTGAGTGTGCCTATGGGCATTTCGATGTCATGGGATGCTAGCATTGTGTTCAGGAAAGACTAGGAATTGTTTTAAGGCGCACTTTATTTTTACTGCTAGGTGTTATAGTCTAACTTAGATTTATGCTCAGATGATACTGATTCGTAAAAAGATCCAGACAAGTTTTCTGTCAAGTTTTCACCATCCTCTTTGCTTGAATAACTTTCTTGTGGGTTGTGAGTTTTTTGGGTTGGGTGTTTGGTTGTGTTTTTTTTAGAATTGACTTGCCTTAAGGTTGGGGTTTGTTTGGTTTTTTTAAAAAAAACAGGAGTAGCCTTTTCTTAGCCTCCAGTGTGGCTGAGAAATGCCGTCAGGTTGGGGTTTTTTTCAGTCTGTACTGTATGTCTAGATTGACTTGGGCAGATCTGCAGAAACTGAAACTCCAAACTTCATACCAGTTTCTTGTTAAGCATTGCATGCTGGAGAGTACTGCATCTCTTCACACTAGCATGCAGTGTCCTACAAAGATACTAATGACTGAGATTCTTCCTAAGCCTTTATTAGGTCAAGCAAGGAATAATTATTTAGGGTTGGAAATTTGAAGGGGAGCAACTTTTGAAATGCACACTGTACTTGGTGGCGAAGCACTTAGGGAAAAAGGGGTGGGTTTTTTTCTTCTCTCAGGATTCTTTGGTTTCTGGTTATATCAAAAATTTAGGTGAGTTTGTCTTTAAATGTTTACTTTTTTGATAGAAAATGCTGGTATGTTACCATTTACATGTGCTGTACTAAGTTGTTTATCTGGGAAGTACGTATCATCCAAGTGACTACTGAAGTGAGAACTAAATTTGAAATGAAAATTTCCTGGAACCTGGGCTCAAATAACGTGCGTTTTGCTGTTGCAGGAGGACCGTGACATCATGGAGGCTGATCTGGACAAAGATGAGGTTTTACAACCTCAACTGGGAGAGCTTGCAGGAGAGAAGCTGCTAACAACTGAGTACTTGGGAGTGAGTACCACTCACTAGCATGTTGATATAAATTGATTTGCTGGATTAAGTGTTAAATTTCAGCAGTTGCATCGCTTTCTATAATCTTTTTGTCTTCAAATTGTTGCTTAAAGAGCCAGGTTCTACCTGCATCTTTCACAGTCTGTTTTATTAGCTGCTGTTCAGAAGAAGTGGAATGAGTTTGAGCTGCCCTTTCACAGGAGGTGGTCAGGCTGTGGCTTAATAATAAGCTAAAGGCAGCCTTAGGGTTCTAGTGCTACATCAGTGACTCTGTGGGCACACAAAGCAAAGTGCTGAGCAAGTTAATACTGGAACACTCTGCCGGTCTGAAATTATGTTGAAAAAAGAAGTTGAAAAGTTAAGTGTTCCTTCAGGCTTTATGCCAGATCAAGTATTGTATGTCTTACCTCAAGCAGCAAAAGCCATTAAGTAAATAAGTGTGAAGTTGGCATGAACACCATTTAGTGTGCTGTGACTAATTTGAGATAAAGGTGACCATATGCCTTCTGAATCCCAGAGTCTATAGACCTGCCAATGCTGATGATGGAAATGTGACCTGAGATAAGATGTCATGGAACAGCCTACAGTGATTCCGGGATATTTTATCTAGTGACGCCAGAATGCAACTTAGTTTCTGATGCAATGTTTCTATAGAATTTTCTCTATGACTCCAGTTACCTGTCTTCCCACTGCATTCTTTTTTTTTTTTTCCCTCCATTTCTTTATTTCCTGTGTATCAGATAATGACTCATACACCAAAAACCAAGAAGAAGCTGTTTCCTGGTGTCCATCAGAGTATAGATGAGCCCCTTCAGAGACCTGTGACGCCAGGTTATCACAGAACCATGTACCTAATGTAAGTCCAAACAAATGAGACCAAGTTGGATTCTTTTTAAACTCATTTAAAAAACAAAACAACAACAACAAACTAACGATGCCTGATAAATAAACCTTCTCTAACTAAAAGTGTATTGACATTGTCATTCCTTAAAGATAATTTCAAAAAACAGAAAGGAGGGGAATATTGTAGGCAGAGAAAGGTCCCTTGGCTGAGGTCATGTACTTGGAATAGTGGAGTAAATGTTTACTGATCAGTCTGATTTAAATTTGCATTATATCCTGCATGTTCATAGTCATTTCATCTTCTCATGATGTATTTTATTGGTAAGTTGCGTGTAGTGGCTAAAATGCCTGAAAGTATATTGAAAGAAAGTATATTGCTCTGGGGAGATTCGCTACCCACCCATGAGACAACAGATTAAAAAGAAAACGGGAAAGACAAAGATCTTGGTATGTCGGATTTCCTGCTTTTGAAGAAATACTTTTTCCAGTGGAAGGGTCTCTGACACCTTGCTCTTGGTGTGATTTGGGTCAGAGGTAGAAGCCTGAATTGTAAATGAAATAAAGAAATCCTACAGTATAGAGCTCCTTGAATATGCTGTGCCTTCTGTTAGAACAAATATGTCTTAATCTTTTAATTTCTGAGATGAGACTTCTTTTCACTGTCCTGACTGAGGAAGGAAGATACCAATGAGATCTCAAATTTAAATTATTTTCTACTTTCAATTGCATAGAGTTTTGGATTTGATCAGATCCAACTAGCTATGGTACAGGCAGCAGTTTGTCGTGAGGATTTAATGTTTTCATTTCTGCAGATACTTAAGCTGATAGACTACAAGCCACTCTAACAAAATATAGATAATAGTACTCAAAAGTCACAGCACTCGTAAAGCTAAGTACATTAAAATGAATGGGTAACCTGAAATACAACAGTGTAATGAAGTTAGAAGGTTAAGGTGGTTCTTAAAAGAGCATATCAGCCCTGAAGTCTGAAGACTGTCCCATGTCATCCCCTCTGCCATTCTTTGTTTTCATGTTCATATTTTCTATTTCTTAAAATACACTTCCACATTTTAGTGTGGAAGATCCATACAGAAAACAGTGAGGACCGATTTAGGCTGTAGTTACACAGGTGTAGATGAATCTGATGTATGTTTGCTGTTGTGGATAGAGTGGTCCCAGCTTTGCCTTACCCATGTTTATTCCCCCTCACTGTCTTGTGCTGGCATTAGCATTCGTGCAAGCTGGTGGTCTGACTGGGAGCCCTCCCGAGTCATCCAAGTGTGTCTTTTCGGCAGCTGTATGGCAGCTAGATGGGATTACATTGATTATGTTACCAGGGCCTTAGAATGGACAAGTGTACCATACCAGATCTGTGCATGGAAGAAGCCCTGGAAGACGTTTATTTTCTAAAAAAAAAAAAGCAAGTTGAATGGAACACAGACTTCCAAAACAGAAAAAGAACCCGTGGCTATCCCAGGGCAGAATTTCTCTTGCACACTCTTGATTATTCTTCTGAGTATCAGCCTGGAAAAAATGGTGTCTGTTTGAGCATGGCGCTTACTTCTTCTGCCTGGTATAGCCTGAATGCAGATTTGGAGTTTTAACTTGGTGTCCTTTCTCACAGTGGTCAACTTTTGCTCCATTATAATGTCCACAGCTTTTGCAAGCCCTCTCCTTATATATTAATTGTGTGTGTTCACGTGTAAGAAGGAAACAACAACTAATTAATATAAGCTTGTATCAGTAGCATAGTGATTATCTAATCATTTTCCTGCAGTGCTCTAAAAGAACTACAGGCCTTAAAAATATAAACTGACTAATATGTGACTAAATATACAGTGCCACTTCACTGTGGGGTCAGTGTTACTGAGTTCAAGGTCCCACTTGCCCCGCACAGGATTTTGCTAGGAGACTGGGATTGATTTTGTGGAATTGGCTGTTTGGGTAGCTTTGCGGCCTATTTAGAAAGTATTTTTCAGGAATAAATCTTAGTTACCACTGGAGTGTCTAAGCATTACATTCCCACTGTATTCTCACAACAAGCTTGTGAGAATGAAGTGACTTTCCTATGGGAAGTCAGAAAAACGGTGGCAAACCCAGGGGAGTGGCTTTTATGTCCTGGTGCCGTGTAGCGCGCTGCCCTTTACGCATCAGAAATACTCTCTTGGAGTGATTGCGTGCCTCTCTCTACCACCACCTACCCAGGCAGTAGGTTTACTTAACAGTATCCTGGGATACCAGAGTGACGCTGGCGGCTTCAAGTCACTGCTGGATACAAATCAAAAACACCTTTCTGCCATGCTGGTGCTGGGAGCTTTGGGTCTAAGTGTTAGTCTGATGGTGTGGAACAGTCTTTACAGATTGCTTCGCTGTGCAAACCAGGGAGGAAAAATGTAAACAGCAGAAATCTAACATGGTGAAAATATGTGGAAATTAATTTTTCTCCTGCTCTGGCCAAATGGTAGAAATAATAGGAGTGTTTGGTGCTCCCATGTTTGAAGCAGGAAGCATGAGATACCACCCTGCATGAGAAGTTTGTGTTTTATATCTAATTTGTGTGCAAGAAAACTGCAGTAAATAGACGAAGACATTCTCTAACTAGATTTTGCAACAGAAAAAGACAAGCTTTGATGACTTTTATGCTGTTCTAATTTTAGTGCGAATTCATTTACTAAAATAAGGAAATACGCTTTTAGGAAGCCTTGCAAGAGGAAGACAATAAAAGTGGCCAAATCTTAGCTGCTTTAATTTGAAAGCAATATCTGAACTGGATGTATTTCACATTTTAAATAATTTAAGTGGCTTGTGTTTGTATTGGATGAAATGGCTTGGAAAATGTCAGACTTTTTACCCTCGTATGCAGCTTGTCTGCCCAGGGACAATCCAGGAGAGTTGATCTGAATTGTCTAAAGTTTTTTGTTCAGCAGAGCAGTTAAACTACATTAAAATTTTGTGTCAATGCTTGCATTCAGAATTGAAGGGAGTGTAATTTGTCTGAAGTTCTTCATGTGAGACTCGATGTAACATGTTCCATTCTAAAAACCTTAGGAAAGAGGAAGCAGTTGATGGGGATACTATAACTTATCTCTTCATGAGCTGGTGGTTCATACCTCCAAAGCGAGAGGGATGGGGGGTGGATTTCTACTGCTGAATAGACGTATTCACACAGAAAATAAATGCAGAATAGCTGCTGCGCATGGAGCAGCTATTCCATGCTAATTTTTATACGACTTCCCAGTGTACACAAGGCTCTAGTTACTTCAGATGAATTGTCATGGGATCCCTATACGGACAAGCTCTTGCTGTATGGAGCTGAGGAAGCCAGGAAATACTGGAAAGCTGCTGCTTTTTTTTTTTGCCCTTCCTCCCCCCCTCTTTAAAGACTCACTGGCTGAGATCACTCAGGGGGCGCTGAACTACTTAATATTCTGCAAGCTGTTTCCTTAGAAACCAATTTAGCTGTGAAATCATTAACTGCCTCCTTGGACTGCATCCTTTCTAACCAGAAATATAGTCTTGTTACCTTAACCTGATGTTGGGCAGGGAAACTTACTGTGTCTGCCAAGTTCTTTTCACACCCTTCTTGCCTCTACCGTGTTTTATTGCTTTTTACTAAGCAATCTTGTCCTTCTGTCCTTCAGTTACTTCAGTTTCTGGCTGATCCACCTCACTTAGGAAATCGACAGTTCTGCTTCTTACCTACCCTGTTTTAAGTCTGTATTGCATACTGCTCTGTAAAGTGAAATCCTTGTAGTATTCGGGGGCAAATTTTAAATCCTTGAAAAAGTAAAGTATTGAAGATCTCTTAGGCCCGCTGCTGCAGTCTGGAAGTGTCCTGCTGGTATTTTGGGTCTTTAGTCTGCAAGGAGTTATGGTTTCCTTTCCTCGGCTTTTTACTGCAGTAGGAAAAAATGGTAATTTCAAATACATCTAACGTCAGCTGGTTTGGGGGAGCTAGTAATGCAGTCAGATTATGTCCTTAGCACTAGTTTGCAATATGAAATATAAAACAATTTCGATGTCATCCATGTCATTACAGGCAATTAGAAGAAATTAAAATTTACTGTCATGCAACTTTTTATACTGCAAGCATTCATCACCCTGCATTCTTCTTTCTCCTTCAGGCCAGAAAACGATACCAGTTCTTGTCATGATAGGGATGAGAAGCTGCAGTCTCCACTGAGTGCTCATCCTCCTATTTGTGGTGGGAGCAGGTCCAGCATTTCTGACCTCTGCGTTTCCCCTTCATGTAAGGATATTCTGTGAATGCTGCTGTTAACAGTTACTGTCTTTCCTGACTGGTGCAGGCGTGTGGGGCCTAGCTTGTGTGTTGTCGATTATGTTTCTGAAATGTAGCCTTGGAACTGGCCCTCCGTCTGCAAGACCTTGGGGCACACGGTTGGGTTTGGACTCGACCTGAATGAATGGCTACAGAAGGTAGTGTATGGTCAGCAGAGACCAGCGGTCTCACTTGCCTCACTTGCCTTGCTTCCTGTGGGAGGGCCAAGGATCATACCGAGGGCTTCCAATGTGCAAATTATACCGTATTTCACTCTGCAGTATCCTCTGCCTAGAGAAAGAGCTGCAGCCCAGAGATAGTGCACTTCCCAACAGGCAAAGCCCCTTACTTGATCAAATATACCCTTGTTTGGATCTAAATGAATCACTGTCTGCTGGCACCTGCAGGCTCTGTTGGCTAGACCTCTGTACTAAAGTTGAAGGCAGCTGCAGTTATCTGCTGAGATTTGCAACTACATTCAAACTATAAAAGGTTGTGGAGGATGGGAAGCCCTGTGCTGTATAGCTACATTGTGGGTGATGCTGCTAAAGATTCTGTCCTTGCAGCTTAAACTGAAATTAATGCAAACTCAGCTGGACCTGAGAGCTCAGAAACATGTGATGCAATTTAAAACATTATAGGCTTCTGGAATACTTCATTTCTGAACTTCTGATATCCACAGGCTCGTGGAACTTTAGATGTGGGAGTTTCAAACTTCTTGCAGGGATTCATTAACATTTCCAATTAGAGATTTAAGGCAAAATGGTCTGCAGTTTTAGATAAAGAATCTTGCAGCGTATCCGGTACAGAATTATTAATAACTTCAGACAAAGCATGCCTTTACTTTGCTGAAAAATATGCTTTGAAGCAGTAAAGGAATAGCATACTTTTTACTCTCTCCTATTTTTTTTAAATTTCCTGGAGGAAATGAAAAGGATATTGAGAAAAGTAACCAAGGTCTTGCAAACAGAAATTTGCTTGCGTAATGCCTAGAGCTGATAAATACAACATGCTGAATGAAAGGTGTATGAAAGGAGCAGATTAAACTCCTGTTCAAGATGAGCGCTTGGGTGCTTGCTGTTGTGTAGGAATGAGAGTGGCCATCCTTAACCCTCACTTTGCTCAGCAGCACCTTGAGTGTAGCTGAGCCCCTTCTGCGGGGAGGTTGGCTAGCCAGGGGCAGCAGCTCAGAACAGCAGAGGCTGGAAACCAGTCAAAAGCATACTGACTTGACAGTTCTACGCAAAAGAAAAAAGTGGAGTTTTGCATATTGATGCTTTGTAATGGAAATTAAACCAAGCAGGTGTCAAAGGTGTTCCTATTTACTGTTTTAAAGTGTAATTGGATGCATTTTCTAAGGCATTCCGCAGCCACCGGAGCCCAGTGTGCCTTCTGAACCACATTTTTATATTATCTTGCCAGTGAAATGCATGCACTCACCTTTGTCACCGTTTGCGTGCTGCTGATGCTGTCTGACAGTTTGCTTGTAAAGATTTGTGTGGAGGTTTAAACAGGGAACCCAAGTAAGTCAGCGAAGTAAATGTTGTTCACTTTTGATGGAGAATATTGATTTAAAACCTTCATGCTGATGAAATTCCTGCTGACTTCAATGTTTCATATTGTCAGAGGTTTGCTTGTAGCCTCTGTCTAAAGCAGTTTGTTAGCTGTTTTCAGTCAAAATTATATGCAGGTGGATACTAGTAAGAGCTAGATTATACTCTCTTTTCTTGTAGAAAAATCTTGGACATCAGAATTTACGGCATATTGCAAGTTTATATGCATTATACATGTAAGAAGACAAATAATTTTTGTGTGTGGCAGGGACAATTCTTCCTAGCACTAATCCAGGCTATAAAACAACACTGAGCTACTTGGAGGATTGCCAGAAGTTTATTTCCAGTTTTTGCAAGTAGCCAGTGAAATAGATGCTTGTCTTTCTTGCCTTTTGGGACTTGGAAATGAAGATGAAGAGAAGAGAGGGACTGCACTGCTGGATCCCCTGGCTGTTCATGTCAGTGACGGGACTTCCAATGTGTATAATGATAATTGGACTGGGTCTTTGGACATCCCCTGTTTTCGAAAAGGCAGTGGGTTTAGTAATTCTTAAATTGGCAAGGCTTTAGTTTAAAACAGTGGAAAATAAGCCATTTCGCTTCTAGTGCCTGCAAAGATATGGCAGTGAACATAACAGAAATTATGTAAAAATAATTGTCATGCTTCTAGAGACTCTCATCATGCCCTGCCAAACATCTTTGCTGTGAAATAAATATGTAGTTTATGGAGTTCTGATCTTGGTCTGATGGTCATTATGCAGTACCAGAAACCTGCGCACTTCAGAATATGCGTTTTCCAGCATCACACGAGTACTTTGGGATTCAGAGTTCCATACAGTTAAGTTGTGAAATGAATAGTAAGAGACCAAGAGTGAAAAAACAGAATAAAAGCTGCATGTGAAAAGTTATCATCATCAGGGTCATATCTTAAGGAAGCTAAGTTTATCCTGCCTCACCAACCTAGTGGCTTTCTATGATGGTGTAACAACGAGAGTGGACAAGGGAAGACCAATGGACATCATCTATCTGGATTTTTGTAAAGCCTTTGACATGGTCCCCCACAACATCCTTCTCTCCAACTTGGAGAGCCATGGATTTGAAGTGTGGACCATTCGGTGGATAAGGAATTGGTTGGATGGTCGCAGCCAAAGGGTAGTGGTCAATGGCTCAATGTCCAGATGGAGACCAGTGACGAGTGGAGTCCCTCAGGGGTCTGTACTGGGACCGGTGCTGTTCAATATATTTATCAATGACATGGACAGCGACATTGAGTGTACCCTCAGCAAGTTTGCAGATGACACCAAGCTGAGTGGTACGGTCGAGACACCAGAAGGACGGGATGCCATCCAGAGGGACCTGGACAAGCTGGAGAGGTGGGCCTGTGTGAACCTCATGAGGTTCAACAAGGCCAAGTGCAAGGTCCTACACCTGGGTCGCGGTAATCCCCGGTATCAATACAGGCTGGGGGGTGAAAGGATCGAGAGCAGCCCTGCTGAGAGGGACTTGGGCGTACTGATAGACGAAAGGCTGGACATGAGCCGGCAATGTGCGCTGGCAGCCCAGAGGGCCAACCGTGTCCGGGGCTGCATCAGGAGAAGCGTGGCCAGCAGGTCGAGAGAGGTGATTCTGCCCCTCTACTCTGCTCTGGTGAGACCTAACCTGGAATACTGCTTTCAGTTCTGGAGCCCTCAGCAAAAGAAGGACATGGAACTGTTGGAGCAGGTCCAAAGGAGGGCTACAAAAATGATCCGAGGGCTGGAGCACCTCTCCTATGAGGACAGGCTGAGAGAGTTGGGCTTGTTCAGCCTGGAGAAGAGAAGGCTGCGGGGACACCTGATTGCAGCATTTCAGTACTTAAAGGGAGCCTATAGGAAAGATGGAGACAATCTTTTTAG